GTAACCCGAGGTACCACGGTATTTCGTTTTAATAGATGAAGAAATACCAGTAGTCTGTGTGATAGTAGTTCTGCAGTTAATTCACCTGAAGTAAATTAAATGTGAAAATTTGTATTTATTAATGCTTTTAAAAGGTATCTGAGATTGTTTGTATATGTAAATAATGGACTGATTCCAGAGATGGGGAGAAATTTGGTTTGGTTTCCATTTTTATTTAATGCCAAGCTACCTAATTTGCACTTCCAAAAATTATATGCAAACTGAATCTTTTACCTCATGTTGGGCAAAAGCTTCCTGTACTGCAGGCGGTTGAACCAGATGACCCTTGTGGTCCCTTCCAATTCTACCATTCTGTGATCTACGAAGCACAGCTATTCTTTGAAATTTGCACTTCACTGAATTTTGCGATGCAGTTTTCCAACCAATAAATGTGTTCAAAAATGCATGTGATGATAAGTGTGCTTTAAAAATGCATATACTAGTTGTAATTCACATTCAAAAAGTCATTATGTCAGGCAAAACGTCATACAAAAATATTTTATCAGGAGAAATGCATGCTACAATGCTGATGAAGTTTCATAAGGCTCTTTTTTAAAAGCAAAAAAAAAAAGAAAAAGCAAACTGATACAGAAATGTAGCAAACTGAATTTAGGATTAATAATAATAATAATAATAATAATAATAATAATATCTTTATTGTCATTGCACCCTTCGGGGACAACGAAATTACTTGACTGCTCCATAAAAACACTAATTAATCAATACAGTATAATACAGCAAGGGAGATTAGATGACTTTCAAAGTCCGGGCTTCCCATTCAGGGCCGAGATCGCTCTGGAGAAGAAGCTGTTCTTAAGACGGCTAGTTCTTGTCTTCATCGTCCTGTATCTCCGTCCCGACGGCAAGAGCTCGAAGAGACAGTGACCAGGATGCGATGGATCTTTTACTATGTCCAGTGCCTTCCTATGGCACCTTGTGGCATAAATCTGCTCTAAGGTGGAGAGTGGGCAGCCAACAATGCTCTCTGCTGCCTTAACAACCCTGCACAACCCCATCCTGTCCTGGGTAGTACAGCTTCCGTACCACACACATAAGCCATAAGTGAGCACGCTCTCAATGGCACAGTGATAGAAGGCAAGCAGCAGTTTCTGCGGAAGATGGTTTTTCCTTAGTATTCTCAAAAAGTACAGTCTCTGCTGCGCCTTCTTCACAAGCCCCCTTGTGTTGACACTCCAGGACAGATCCTCTTGTAATTCAATACCCAAAAATCTGAACGCTGTTACCCTCTCCACACAGACCCCATCAATCAAAAGTGGCTGGACGTTGCTCTTCTGTCTCCTGAAGTCCACCACAAGCTCCTTTGTCTTCCTTGTATTTATGAGCAAGTTGTTAGCTCTGCACCACTCTGTCAGCCGCTCCACCTCATCTCTATAATCCGTTTCACCCTCCCTTTCAGAGATGAGCCCAATCACGGTTGTGTCATCTGCAAATTTGACAACCCTATTACTAGGGTGAGTAGCGACACAATCGTACGTGTAGAGAATATAAAGGAGCGGACTGAGTACGCATCCCTGTGGTGTTCCTATGTTAGTCTTGAGCATATTAGAGGTATAGGGGCCCAACCAAACCCTCTGGGGCGGTCTGACAAAAAGTCCAATATCCACCCACAAAGTGATAACGGAAGCCCCAGATCTTCCAGTTTAGACATCAGACGTTGTGGTAGAATGGTATTAAATGCCGAGCTGAAATCTAAAAAAAGCGAACGTGATTCATGCAGGGGGCACGTTTGCAACCCACAGCGTTCACAACCCGCAGCGTCGCGTCTGTGCACATGCGTGACGTGATGCTTTTTAACGTGTTCATAATTCAGTGTAAGTAATCATGAAGTGGGCAAAAAACCCTAATTTCACACATATGCTACTGGGATCTGACCTGGTGCCGACTGACCAGAACCAATAATAATAATAATAATAATAATAATAATAATAATAATAAATTTTATTTATATCCCGCCCTCCCCAGCCACAGCCAGGCTCAGGGCGGCTAACAGCAATCAAATAATCAAACAATCAAATAATCAAACATTCTAAAACATTTCATTATAAAAATTAATTAAAATCAAATTAACGGCAACCGTTAAGCAAAGTTCTGTGCAGGTTGCCAGAGGAGGGACTCAGGCTGGGCCCTGACCAAAGGCCTGGTGGAACAACTCTGTCTTGCAGGCCTTGCGGAAAGATGTCGGGTCCTGCAGGGCCCTAGTCTCTTGTGACAGAGCGTTCCACCAGATTGGAGCCGCAGCCGAGAAAGCCCTGGCTCTAGTTGAGGCCAGCCTAACCTCTCTGAGGCCTGGGACCTTCATAGTGGGGTTCATAGTGGATAACATAGACCTGGGGTTCATAGTGGATAACATAGAGTCATAAAATCATAGAGCTGGAAGGGACCCAACCAACCCCCTGCAATGCAAGGATCTCAGCGAAAGCATCCATGGCAGATGGCCATCCCACCTCTGCTTAAAAACCTCCAAGGAAGGAGAGCCCACAACCTCCTGAGGGTGACTGTTCCACTGTCGAACAGCTCTTCCTGTCCGAAAGTTATTTTCTGAATATTTAGTCAGAATCTCCTTTCTTGTAACTTGAAGCCATTGGTTCAAGTCCTACCCTCCAAAGCAGGAGAAAACAAGCATGCTCCCTCTTCCATGTGACAGCCCTTAAGATATTTGAAGACGGCTATCATCTCTCCGATGATGTATGGAAGTGAGAGCTGGACCCTAAAGAAGGCTGATCGCCGAAGAATTGATGCTTTTGAATTATGGCGCTGGAGGAGACTCTTGAGAGTCCCATGGACTGCAAGAAGATCAAACCTATCCATTCTGAAGGAAATCAGCCCTGAGTGCTCACTGGAAGGACAGAGCCTGAAGCTGAGGCTCCAATACTTTGGCCACCTCATGAGAAGAGAAGACTCCCTGGAAAAAACCCTGATGTTGGGAAAGATGGAGGGCACAAGGAGAAGGGGATGACAGAGGATGAGATGGGTGGACAGTGCTCTCAAAGCTACCAGCGTGAGTCTGACCAAACTGCGGGAGGCAGTGGAAGACAGGAGTGCCTGGCGTGCTCTAGTCCATGGGGTCACGAAGAGTCGGACACGACTAAACGACTAAACAACAACATCATCTCTCCTCTTTTTCCGGGCTAAACATACCCAGCTCCTCCAAGTGCTCCTCGTAAGGCTTCGTTTCCAGACTCCGGATCATCTTGGTTGCCCTCCAGACCCTTAATCATCTCAAAAATATGCTAACCCACTGTGTGGCAGTTGTGAAAAGGGGAAATTTCATGTTGGGGATCATTGGGAAAGCAACTGTAAAAACAACTGCCAGTAATGTTGTTATTCAAACCTGTCGTGTGGCCCGAAGATTTTGTGATGGCCAACTTGGATGGCTTTAAAAAAGAATTACTATCCACCATTCTATGTTTTACCTCAACTCTCTGCGGCATAATGCCTCTGGATATCAACTACTGGGGAATCACAAGTGAGGAGAATGCTCTTGCGCTCAGGACCAGCTTTGGGGTTTCGTACAGGCATCTGGTTAGCCACTGTAAACCAGGATGCTGGACTAAATGGGCCTCGGGCCTGATCTAGCAGATCTCTTTTATAATCTTATAAGAGAAACTGAAAATGGCAGATCCATGTATCCCTATCGGAATTCAGAGTGACTTTGACTTCAAAAATGGAAGGAGCTCTTGACACAGCAGAACAGGAAGATTTTGTTCATCTCCCTGCAATGCCACATAAGGAAAAAGCTTCTCAAAATGGTTGGAGAGTCCTCTTAAGAACAGCATGGGGACAACAAAGTTATTTATTTGCTTCTGTCTGCAATCTCATCCCTTGTTTTTTGTGCATCTAATCTATACGTAACAGGGATTTCCAGCTGGATTGTTTAATTCCAGATTTGAAAAGGGGATTCCCAAGTCCATAATCTTCTGATCAATCAACATAGAATTTTGTATGTACAAGCAGAGTACATATCAGTAGCAATAACGTGTTTGTAGCCATAGCAATCACATGAGTAGAAAGAATTTGATTCTTTCTCCAAACAGATCAGAATCAGTATTGTTGTACAGATGTGGTTTGGTCCCAGCAACTTATTGCAGCATCAATTTTCCAAGCCATTGATGGGGAACCTGCCACCTTACAGAGGTTGTTGGGCTCCAACGTCTATCAGTTCCTCTAGTGAAAAACAAGCATAGAAATTTATACTTATTTTAGTGAGAGTGGAAGACTTATGCTTGCCTGCAAAGGCAGGGTATGTCCCTTATACAAGGCATAGAACTAATTTTTAAGTTTTGTTCACTATACAATTTTAGGCAATATTCTGAGAGAGGCCAATGACTTTAATCACAGGACTTTAATCACACTACAGTTCTTGCCAACACAAGGGAAATAGGAGAGGTGTGAACTTGCTATGCCCTTTCCTTGCCCTCTTTCACAACAGGAAAAGCATCCTTATGATGTACGGTCCTCCAGAGCAGGCTACAGTAATAAAGCTGAAGAGGGAACAAACTGGCAATTTTTTATTTATTGATTGGATTCTTCACCTGCCTCTGTCCTCAGAGGCTCAAGCAGTTAATGTTTGAAAGAAGCCATTTAAAATATAAAAATGAAAATGCAGAAGTAGCTTTAAAAGAAATCTTACACTGCCTGGTTCGTACATGCCCACCATGGGCTCCATTCAACATGGAGAACATTGTGTCTGCCATTTCCTCAAATATTCTGAATTTGGCTCTTTTGCATTCCCTAGAGGACAACTTTCAGAAGGCTCATTGTGGGCAGCCCAGAGGAGAATTATTCAATTTTTAAAAGGCAAGTGAACTCAGTAGTAAGCTTGATCCCCTAGTAGAAAACTTGATTCCTATGGTCATTCAAAGAAAATATATAGCTATGATTCTAGATTCAGGTAGGTAGGTAGCCATGTTGGTCTGACGCAGTCGAAATAAATAAAAAATTGTCCAGTAGCACCTTAGAGACCAACTAAGTTTGTTCTGGGTATAAGATTTCATGTGCATGTATCTGAGGAAGTGTGCATGCACATGAAAGCTTATACCCAGAACAAACTTAGTTGGTCTCTAAGGTGCTACTGGACAATTTTTTATTTATATAGCTATGAACGAAGGAGTATAAAATGTTTCTTGGTGTTTTAGTGGATGCACGCTAGTTGCTTGGACATTGTAAGAGGAAGAGTCCTTGGAGCGTGGTGTGTTTATTTACTTGTTTGTTTATTTGCTGCCCAAATTCTTCAGAGACAGCTGCAAATGTGACTGGGGCAAATTAGGAAGAGAACGGCAATTATCCAATCACAAAGGGAAAGCTAAATGGGAACGGTACAGAAATAGACTTGTTAATAATGTCAGCTTCTCCAGGTGCAATCTTGGAAGAGTATATGGGACAGCAGTTACTGTTATATTCACATGGGAATGGTTTGATCTCTGGGGGTGAGTTTTCAGTGGGTACAGTGTGCTTCCAACATGCAATCAGGTGAGCAGTACGAACAGATGCGTCTTGGAGGATGTGTTTTGGTATCCTCAGCACAATCATATTTTCAGAGCAAGAATGCTTGGGAACATATACCAAAAAGAGAGAGGAAAGAAATCAATGTATTATCAAATATATTCTTGTGCCGTGGAACAATTGCCGCTACAGAAACCTATAACTTCTCAACCAAAAGCTTGATGTGAAGGCCATGAAAACAATAGAACAACCTCTCACTCGCACCTGCTTACCAAGAGACGGAAAAATGAAGCCGTGAAGTTTCATTATCTCCAAACTTAAGCCTCTCTCTTCCCCATTTGCCTTCATCGCTGAACACAACCAGCGGTTTTGCGACCAATGAAGCACCAAAAATCTCCTAGAAACAGGGCTGAGCCAAACCGTTGTAATGAATGATTCCATCAAATAATTCCCCCACCTCACAGCAACACTCCCCATGCCCTATGTGATGTACAAACATTTTTAGAAGCCCTGCAGCTTCTCATGTCTGGAGAAATGAGAGGTATATATAAAGAGTAAATTTAAGAATTTGATTTGTGCGTGGCTTTAAAAATTGTGAAGTCATGTAACCCTAATATTCCTATCTATTGCTAAATTGCCGGGATAAATTCTGAGATTCTTCTCAAACGAATCTTCAAAGTGGGTGTCTCTTTTAGCCAAATGTTTTATATATTTCATAATTTTGTAAGTGTGTGAGAGAGAGTGTATTGCAGATATTGGTTTAACAATTTCTGTCTCCCAAATGATATAAAGAAAGCATGTTCTCCCTCATGGAGAGCACGTGTTGCGGTGGGGTCTGCCGAGCCACCCTTCTGTTGCCAGGCAGGGTTTCTAAAGACAGCCTGGGGCAACGATGGGATGGCTGGGTTGCTGGGGTAAATGTAATGTTGCAATTTGGGTGGGAGGGGTCAAATGTTTTAAATACTCTGCACGCAGCCTGGAGCTTTCTCTTTGCTGCGTGCAATGGATCACCCACCCACCCTAAATTAAGGGGGGTTTTTTGCGTTGACCTTGCTATGCCTGTCATGGGGTCGTCTGCCGTTGGGGCAGGGGCCTGGTAGGAATTTTGTCCATCTGGCTGATTGCCTGGGCCATTTGGTTTTTGGCTACTGCGTAGCAAATAGTCACAACTTGTAAGGTTGCTGTTAGGCATTGGTTATAAATTGGTTGGAGGAGGGGTTAGGATAGGCTGGGCCTGCCCCTCCATGGTTGCTGCGGAAAGAGAATTCTATTAAAGGAATCCAGGGGCTTGCCATCTTTTTGCCCGAATCCCTGGAATGGGGCTAGGGTTGGCAAGCCTCGGGGAGCATGCAGGGAGAGGTGAGGGCCTGTGACTCAGCTCCATTTCCCCCACCCCCACCCCCCGATATTGTTTTCCCTTACCGGCTTTCGGTGGTGCCCGGAAGTCAGTTCTGTCCGAGGCGGGGGGACAGATAGTCTTAACCAATGCCTAAACAACCACTCACGTTTATGTATTTCAATAAAGTTGTGGCCAAAATTATGCCAAAAACCTTAAACAAAAATTATGTGTGTGTTGTGAGTTATTTGGGGATTGGCTTGGGGACCTCGACATGCAATAACTTGACCCCAAAGTACTTTGATTCTCATTTCATAATTGTGACAAGTTTGTGGTACGTTGTTCTTTAAAAGAAAATGCAGCTGCCCCCTGATCAGTTATATTTCAGGTGCTGCAATGCTGATGCACACATGTACCTCTCCTGTCAGCCAGGCTGATCCTTTTGCATCATTGAAGGGTGCTGCTTTGCAAGCCATGCCATCTTCCAAGCAGCTATTGCCATTCAAATAAGAGGTACATATCACTTGTGCAAGAACACCATGCATAAGGGGGTATGAGTGGATCAGGTGGTGACTTCATATAAAACACCAAAGTACAATTGCATTTGTCCAATCATAATATCTGGCCAATTCAATTAATTTACTACATCCATAATGACTGAAGCTTCGGAATAAATTTAATTTCCAGCATAGATTCACTGTGGCCAGTTCTTCCTCTTACCCCCAGCCCCGGCATATTTATATATATTAGAGGAGGAGAGAGAGAGAGAGAGAGAGAAAGACCATTTATTGCTTTTTGCCTTCTTAGCAACAAAATACATAAAACAAAAGCTCCACAGATGAAACGTGCCGTAAAATATTTTAAATGCTAGTAAAATGAAATGGCATAGCTTGTAAGGAAATATTTATTTTACTGGAAAAATTCATAGCAAACATTAGAATGATGTATTTAATATTGAAAAATAGGAGGACTGATGATAAAATATAAAGAAATTAATAATGACAAACCTGTTAGGATCTAAGTCTTTGGAAATTTTCTTCATATTTCTGAACATTATTAAAAGCAGTTCAAAGGCAATGTAACCAAGATGCAGTTAGAGTGGTGAAACAGACCTGGAGAGATCAAGCTTCAAATTTTCAATGTGCAGTGATGCTCACTGGGTGACCTTGAGCAACTCGACATTTCAGCCTAAGCAATTTCATTGGGCTGTTATGATGCTAGAAGAAGTAAAGGTAAAGGTAAAGGGACCCCTGACCATTAGGTCCAGTCGTGACTGACTCTGGGGTTGCGGCGCTCATCTCGCTTTATTGGCCGAGGGAGCCGGCGTACAGCTTCTGGGTCATGTGGCCAGCATGACTAAGCTGCTTCTGGTGAACCAGAGCAGCGCACAGAAACACCGTTTACCTTCCCGCCAGAGCGGTACCTATTTATCTACTTGCACTTTGACGTGCTTTCGAACTGCTAGGTTGGCAGGAGCAGGGACCGAGCAACGGGAGCTCACCCCGTGGCGGGGATTCAAACCGCCGACCTTCTGATCGGCAAGTCCTAGGCTCTGTGGTTTAACCCACAGCGAGAACCTAAAAAGCATAAGTAGAGCCCTGCTGAATCAGACCAATGGCCAATCTAGTCCAGCATCCTCATCCCACAGTGGCCAAACCTGCAAGCCAGACAAGAGTACAATGGCACTCTGCTCACCTGCAATTCCCAGAAACTAGTAACAAGTAAAGCTAAAGGACCCCTGGATGGTTAAGTCCAGTCAAAGGCGACTATGGAGTTGCAGTGCTCATCTCACTTTTCAGGCCGAGGGAGCCAGTGTTGGTCCACAGACAGCTTTCCAGGTCATGTGGCCTGCATGACTAAACTACTTCTGGCACAACAGAACACCGTGACAGAAACTAGAGTGCATGGAAACACCGTTTACCTTCCCGCCGCAGCAGTACCTACGGTATTTGTCTACTTGCACTGGTGTGCTTTCAAACTGCTAGGTAGGCAGGAGCTCACCCCATCGCAGGGATTCGAACTGCTGACTTTTTAATCAGCAAGCCCAAGAGGCTCAGTGGTTTAGACCACAGCGCCACCCATGTATTCAGTATTCCAGTATTCAGAGGCCATTATGGCTAGTACCCATTGATAGCTTTGTACTTCTTCAAATTGTCAAAGCTGGTGGTCATGGTTGCCTCTAATAGAAGCAAGTTCAATGGCCTAACTTTGTGCTGCTTAAATAAGTACTTTTATCTGTCCTGAATCTTCCAGCATTCCGCTTCACTGGAAGGTCAAGGATGGCTTCTCCCCATGTGAACTGAGCAGGGCTCTGTGTTCATCATCTGAGGACCTCCTTTGTGTGCCTCTTCCATGAGAGGTCCGCAGAGTGGCAACACAAAAACTGGCCTTTTCTGTGGCAGTTCCGCGTTTGTGCAGTGCTCTCCCCGGGAGGCTTGCCTGGTGACTTCATTATACATCTCAACCGGGCCTTTGGCTGATGAACAGCCAATGGCCTTGAAAATGTGTTTGTGCAACGGGAGTTATTGGTTGGTTATGTTATGTACTGAAGTTCTCACCCTGGGCCAGCAGGGGGGATACTGTAGATAGTTTTCACTCAGGTCCACATATGCAAATAAGGAATTGAAAGTGACGTTCAGTGATTGGATAGTTACAGAAAGTTGTTACTGTTGCTTTGTAGTTGAGCTCTATATAAGCAGCTTGGCTGAACCTTGCAGTTCAGTTTTTTTCTGGCCTGTGAATGAACAAGAGCTGTTTGAAGAGTCGCTGTGTCATCTGATATGTTCACCCACAACTTAACAGGTTGGTTTCTTATTACACATTTTGTTTCTGTTTTATTATGCACTCATGTGCCAGACTCCCGTGGGGAGTAGAGTTGCACCCAACTGGCGGTACTGGGCTGTCGCATGCTGGAACCAGGCCCCAAAGGTCCTGCCCAGACATGGCTTCCCTCCCCGCAGCTCCGGCCTCAATGAGGGAGCCTGTCGTGGTGGCACCTGGTTGTGCCCCCTCAAAAATATGACCCCAGGACCTTGGCCCCCAGCTCCCATGCTGCAGAATTATACCTCCATGGCTTTGTGTACTGAACATTCTGCAGATTAAGAAGACGGCAACACATACAGGGAAATCTTAAAAATATTGATGTGCGCAGTCTGTCTGAATGGTATTCCCCCCACCCCACCCAAACCATTTAGATTGTATTTATCCCAAGGAGAACAAGTAGATCATGTGACAGAGGAGCTGAACAACACAGATACTTTCCAACGGCAACAGCCTTTGGAATCAGAATGAAACTGCCGA